AGATAGAAAATATCGCAGAACCTGCTGAAATTTTTCCTTCAACATCCATGATAATAACTGACAACTTCCGCGTCCTATTTTGTTCTTATCTTATGCTTCTGGTTCTTTCATTAAATTTTCTTCGTAGCCTTTCTAACCCAGTTTGGGTGAATAGATAGATAGATAGATAGATAGATAGATAGATCTTCTTTTTTTTTTTTTTTTTACATCAGCTTTAAATAACCACTATCCTTCAAAAAATATTTTTAAAAAAAATTTCCAATGCTGTTGATGAATCAGACACAAACCATATATATTACATACACACACTCACACAGAGTCAAGGTGAAGTTGAGGAGGTCCAGAATACTTTTCAGTCTGAACAAGACAGTCTTGACAGAAAAAAGATTTTTGATGTTTGCTCACTTGGTCAGCTTATAGAAAATACATGGGTACTGATATCTTTTCAGCACCCGCCCCACATACAAGCTGTATCACAAAGTTGAAGGCAGGTTCTTCACACCAAAACAAGGACATGTCCCATATGTCCCACAAATCCTTCATCTTTGAGATAAAAATGTTTTTTTTTGGGGGGGGGGGGTCCTGAGTATCAAGTATAAAGAAAGTTTACCATAGAATTAGGAACCTGCCCATAAAGTTTGTGAAAGTATTTTTGTATTTTATGTTGGATTGTATATTTAACAGTGTCTACCCTAAATATTAAACTTAATAACTCAAAAATGAAGGATTTGAGGACATATTTTTATAAGGACTTTTGCCCTTGTTTTCATGGGAGGAATCCACCCCCAAATTTTATAAAAGTATTTTTGGATTGTGTGTTGGATTGTATATTTACCAACATAAAACTGTAAATATTAAACTTAATAACTCAAAAATGAAGGATTTGTGAACATATGCTTATATAGACTTTTGCCCTTGTTTTGGTGTAAGGAACCTGCCCTCAAAGTTTGTATGAATAATACATGAGACAAGATTCAAAAGATTGAGACACCCAATGGATTATAGCGATTTTCCAAGCGTAGCTTAGATGTTGCACAAGTGAGGATTGAACTCACTATTCAGTCATAATTGTACTAGTCAGACAAGTTTTCTGACTATTACACCACCGCAAGGTGCCCTTACCCAATAGATTAAATAGCTATCTTAAAAAAGGACAAAACAATACAGAAACTGAGGTATTGTATTCCCTTGTGGAGTGATTTTCTGAGATGGGTTAAATGCTTGGAGAGACATGGGAAATCTGCTTAAAAGTCAAGTGCCTGTTTCTTGGTTCATCAAGAAGATTTGCTAGAGTAAGCTGACAGTTCTTTCTGAGGTAGACTGGTTGCCAACAAAGGCTATAGGGACCAGTCTACCATGCTATTTAACCTAAATCTGACATACTGTGCATCAGTAAATGTAATGAACCCAACTTGAATTTGAACTCAGTTCTCCGATTTCTCATTATGAGCTGGTATCCACTACAGCAAACCACACGTCCAACGCAGCTTTCTTAGAAAAAGAAAAAAAATATACAGAAAATAGGCTGTATTCTCTGATGGAGTGATTTTCAGGGATTGATTAAATACCTGGAGAGACAGCTGATTAAAAGTCAAGTGCCGTACATGATACACACTTTGACGATCATGCCTCTTTTGATTCTTGACCAACTAGGCAGATGGTTTCTCGTAGCAGGCTGCCATTTCTTTCAGCGATAGACTTATTGCTAACCAAGGCTATAGGGTCCAGTCTGTCCTGCTATTCATCCAAGAGACAAGAGAGAGAAGAGTTAGATTCATATCTTCCCAGGGTATTTGCACATAAATTCCATGTTTTTTGCATTTACTTAACTTGACTCTCCAAGTTCATTAACCCACACCACACATTGAAAACCTGATTAGGCATTCAAATTACCCAAACATTCTGGGGTCATAGAAGTGACTTCAAAGTGCCGCACATTTTGTTTATATGCTTATCCTATTAGCCGGGGGTTAATGCCAGACTGAAAGGCAAATCAGGTTTTGCAACACTGAAGTCAATTTCAGTTTCAATTTGTGTGCATGTACATTTGCATGTGTATGTGCACATGTACATTTGCTGTAAGCTTGGATGTTCAGGTGCAATGGATAATGATTCAAAATTGTTAATTGGAGATCCAAGTTTCAATTCCAGTTGGGTTCATTATATTCACTTACATGCAAATAACCTTGGCAAAAATATGAATCCACCTCTTCTTCCCCCAGCTATGGGTTAATTAGCAAGACTTGTATCAGTAAATCATTATTATCTCAAAAAATAATCTTACAATATAAAAATATTTTCTGGCTTTAAATGACCTGCAGAGGGTTGATAAACCATAGAAAATAAATGAATCAATCAACAATTACCGTGCCAATTGACAGTGAATGGATGACAGAATATGAAGGAATGGCAAGAAGTCAATCATTGGTTAGAGCTGCAAGAGACAGAAAGCTGTGGAGAGCTATGATTGCCTGTGTTCTGATGGAAAGTGGCACATAAATGATGAAGAAAAACTTATATACCTACAGCTTTAACCCGAGGTCAGCTATGGTTGGTCAATGGCCCAGCACCACAATTACTGTGCCAATTAATCCCCACTGAATGGATGGT